AACGTACGGGCTCACCAGTTTAAAGCCCGAGACCAGTGTTCCAGAAGGAACTTAGCTGTTGGGGGGGTCCAGTGGATTTTATCTTCTGTTGTGTGAAAATTGATTTGTGAAATGGGTGAAATAATTTGATGATTTAATTTTTGGGCGACCTCTGTGATGACAGTGTTGATTTTTTTCAGGTTCTGTTTTTGTATAAAATTTAGTTTTTCGGAATAATTCAGAAGGGGAGTGTAGATGTTTGCAAATGGGAAAGTATCCCGCGCCGTGTTTAACATGGTATTGACGAGCGTGTGTATTTTTTTGGGGTCAATTTGTCCCCTGTTGTTTATTCCGAAAGAGAGAATGACTTTTTTCGTTTCATCACAGGTCTTTGTCCTCCTCAGGATCTCATATGCATGCCAAAAGTTTGCCCCCGGAAAGCAGTCTATCTGAATATCAGGGTTGGTTGGGAGGGGCAATCTGCTGAGGTTTGAGTCCCCCATAATAATTATGGGTCGGTGGGGAGTGATGTGCCAATTTTGTTTCCCCTTTTCTTGATCATAATGTATTGTTTTCAGAGGTTTAGAAGTTATCACGAGTGGTTTCAGTGAGGTCTTTAACACCTCCACGAGAGTGATTGGTTGAAGAGGTGTAGGTTCTTTCCTTGAGTTGTGTAGGGTCGGATTTTGTTCCATTTCTATTTCATTGTCAAGGTCTGATAAGAAGGAGTTATGTCTAGGGCCCTTCTGAGTAATGATGGTTGTTTCCCCTTCATCCAGAGTACTTTGATAGGCTTTAAAGGGAGTGTGTTTGTTTCGTTTCCCTTTTTCTTTTTTGCCTGTTTTGTGTTCCAGTTGTAGGTTCCTCATCCTGTTATTAATTAAGGATTGTTTTTCTCGGATCTCAGTTATTTTCTTCCAAGTGGCTTGTTTAATCCCTTTTATTTCCTTTTGGGCTTTTTTAGTAGCTCCATTCAGAATGAGTTGTAGTTTTTTTCGGGGTATTTTCCCCAAATCTGTTACCATTCCCTTCATCTCTGACTCAATCTGTTTCCAGTTGGTTTTGTTTCTCTGTTGTTCTAATAAAAAAACTCTAAAAGAAATTTCAATCCATTCAACTAAGGTTTTTTGTTTATCTGGCATTTTCGAATGTTTTTTTTATATGTTCAAAGGTTGAAAAAATTACTTTTGAAGTAAATGTGGGAAAAAAATCTTGTTTTAAGATATTGGTTGTTATTAAAGTTGAAAAATTCAGTAAATTTGGTGGGAATGCTCCTTTTGTTTTTTTGTGTCCGTCCCGCGCTGATGTTTAATTAATGGGATTTAGAGATTCGTTTTTAGATCTGTCCTCTTTAATTTCTTCTAGTTTGGTAGCGTTGCTAGAAACGAATAATTATTTTTTCGTTCCCAAGTCGTATCTAAAGGAATAAAAAATTTCGGGACCCAATCGTCAGTGGTGACTACCGGTTCAAGCGGGCGTTTCGGCCGTGGTTCTCACCATTCTTTTTTTCTCTTCTTACGCCCTCACCAGGTAGCGGCCCCCCGGAGTGATCAATCTCCGAGGTCGGGTACCGTAGCCAATTGATACTGCTTCACAGCGAAGGGGTCGCCCACTCTGCATAGCAGGGGCTGCGTGGCCGCCACCTCCTGTGGGACCACAGTCACTGGCACCATCATCGGTGTCGAGTACACCAGCAAATACGCCTGCTGCACCACAGACCTCTGCAACGGAGCCTCTGCTGTTCAGCTGTCTCTGACTGCCGGCCTCTGTGCCGCCATCTTGTCCTCCCTGTGGGGATTCATATAGTTCACCATGAAACTTACAGATCTCACATGCTAATCCTCTGATTTTTCTTCTTCTCTTTTTTCTATTATTACTTTCAATTTTATGCATTAAATGAAGTTTTAACTTATCAATGTTATTCTCCAGTTGGAGTAGATGGAAAAACAGAAATGCACAAATCCATGTTGTTGTTCTGGCTTTAGTAAGAGGCTTTCTTATTATGGTTAATAAAGCATCATATCTCACCAAACATGGATGCTTTGTGTTAATAATAACAATCATTGACCAGTTCAATGATTGTTGCAGCTAACAGTTGCTAATGTTGCTACATTGGAAACCTGGGTGAACGTTCAGCTGCTGATTCTCTGTCGCATGTTTTAACAATATGTGAAAAAAATAAATCACTCCATGTTTTAAGAACGGTTTAACCAAAGTAAACCTTTTTAAAATCTGTAAAAGTCACTCATGTATGGAATGACTTGTATTATTAAACTAAAGTTGCTAATGAAAACTCTGATTTAAGAAAACTGTCATTTTTCACATTGGTTTAGCTTAATAATTCAGCTTCAAAAGGCATAAATAAAATATCAAATTATGCAGTTTAATGAAGTTTTTTAGTCAGATTACAAGTAAATTTTGAAAATAACCTTTAGGCAGGTAATAAAGATACTTTTTATTACAATAAATTGTTGTTTTATTGTTCTGACTTAATATTGTCACCTTAGACGTTGTGTTCTCATTAACTTGAAGGTGAAAAACATAATTATCATAATTAAAAGCATGAAAACATCAGTTTGTGTGTTTTTAATCTATATAATGCATTTCACTTAGTAAATCAAGTTACTGAAATGAATAATGTAATTCATTGGCTGGGTCGTTAAACTAAAAGTAGCAGAAACTTAAAAACAGGACAGAATATGTCACAGTTATTGTTTTTTTTTCAACTTATTTGATAAAACACAGATGACACATTTTCATTTTTAATTGGGTGGACCTCTGTTGAATGGACGTTGAGTAGGCCATTCTAACATACAAACAAGTTTAATTGGTTTCCCTAGTTTACCCTGCTGGCTTTTTGTTCCGGGTTCCTGTTTTTGGTTGGCTCTGGTTCCCTGTGTTCCCTGTTGTTTTTTTGTAAGTTTATTCATCATCTTTGTCATTAAAGCATTTTTCACCTAGAATCTGTCTCAAATGACACATTACGGCATATAGCAACACTTACGTGGTGAATTCACCAACATTCTTCATCATCAAAACCAGTAGAAAGATCTTTATTCTATGGAAATGTATCATTACATCAAAACAAGGCGAGGCACAAACTCATACCCTTTTTATCCTGTTCGATCTCCAGTAGTTCATCACAGTATCCTGTAAGATAAATCATCAGTCACAGTCACATTTTGACCTATGGGCCCATTTTTCTGATCAAGGTAAACACAAGGTGTGGTGACGTTAGAAAGCGAGTTTCTTTGTTGGGGAAGAAGATAAAGTTCCTGATGACAATCAAACCAACCTGGAATGATGAGTTTCTTTGCTATCAGTGAAAAGTGGAATGAAGGAAACGAGACTGCTAACAAAGACCAGGACATCTGGAATAAACAGATGAGTGGAAATTGTATACATTTGACACGAGAACAGAGGAAATGTTTAGCTGGAACACAGCAATCTAGGAACTGAAGGTTGGCTATTCTCCATAATTATTTTTTGCGTGGGAAAAACACCAAATCTTCCAAGTGTTTTTAGTGTAGTTTCTAATCTAAATATCTTATTACACTTGAATAAGACAAAACTAACTTACAAGTACCTTTTCTGCAAGACATAGAAGCTTGTTTTAAGTCAATAATTCCTTAATATTGATGAAAACGTACCAGCTCCTTTGGCAGATAAATTTAGTTATAAATTTGGGTTGCTAGGTGACGGGCTGGGCTTGGCTGGCATTGCTGGGTAACAGGGCCAGTAGAACTTGTACTTTTCATTAATATTAAGAAATCAATTTTTTTAAAACAAGCTGCTATATCTTGCAGAAATTCTATGTTCAAGTTAGTGTTGTCTTAATTCAAGTGTACTAAAATATATGAACTAGAAACTAGACCAAAAAATATTTGGTAGAATTTTTTTTTTTTTGCAGTGTAACAAGTCATTCTTCTTAGATTGATTGATTGATTTCTTTAGCTACACCATCAAAACCAGTGAAAAGACCTTTATCATGTAGAAAACATATCTTTAAATCGAAGCAAAACAGGGCGAGGCACAAACTCACGCCCGTTTTATCAGATTTGATTTTCATATGATAGATGGCAGGAAGCCTGCAGTTTATCACACAGCAAACAGTAACGTGCGATAAATTATCAGTCCCAATCACGCTTAGACCTATGGAGCCATTTTTCTAATCAACCTAAACTAAAGGTGTGGCGACGAATGATAAGCTAAAGTTCATGATTACGATCAAACCAACCTAGAATTACTAGCTTTCAGGGAAATAAATGAAACCAGACTGTGTCTGAGGTTATAAAGATATTTTAATGTACTGTGACCCATTTTGATTGCAGAAACCTGAAATCAGAAACTTCTTGTTGCTTTTACTAATCACAACTCAAAGTTCAATCAAGTTTCAACTTCACTGCAAAAACACAAAATCCTACCAAGAATTTTTAATCTAGTTTCTAGTGCAAATATCTTAATACCCTTGAAATAAGACAAACCAACTTGTCATTCATGAATAAAAATGAATTATTTACTTAAAATAAGCCTCTATTTTTTTAACTAAAAGTTACTTTTAAGTTAGTTTATCTTATTTCAAGTGTACTAAGATATTTGCAATAGAAACAAGATCAAAAATACTTGGTAATATTTTGTCTTTTTGCAGTGTAACATATTCCTCACATCAGCAAAACTTCCTGTTAGGGTAAAATATTTTCTCATTGCTTAATATTTTTCCAAACAAGCATTAAAATAGTTGCGATCCTGTGAATTTGGCTCAATAACAATAGTTTAAAAAATTGTCCATCATGACTTCTACTGAGTATTAGAGGTGTTTATGTAACATGTCAGAAACATCTTTTGATGAAATTGAAGCAGAACTCAACTCTGCAACTAATTTTTTTTAATTGCACTTGATAAAGAAAATAAAATTTGACTTGAATGGGAGTTTCACTTTCGCTGAAGATGGTAATCTGGGTTGAGAGGAAAGTTGTGCAGGACTTCCTCCTCTCGTTGACATAAAAGCCCACAGACCCAGTTCGTCTTCATCACTCCTTCCCACCGCTTCTTCTCCTCACTTTTGCTTCAACGCATCTGAGAATCTAGACGTGTTTAAGTCATTTACTCCTTCCTGTTGATTTGCAAACATGAAGAACTTCTGGACAGCTCTGATCGCATTCAGCGTCCTGATTGCAACAGGTAATTTATTTTTTTATTATATTATGGGGAAAAAAAGCAGTTTGGTGGATATTTTTTGTAGTTATTCTACTATTTTAAGAGACAATCGGCATCCATTTACTATCAAAACAAAATTCATTTTTACTTAACACAATCTAATTCTCAGTCTTTTCAGTTAATTTCTAAATAATAATATTGTGATTTATTGCATATTTGCAGTACATAACTATTAAAAGGTAAAAAAAAAAGTATAGAAGTTAAAGTATTTCTGGTCCCTGTGAACAATAACTGTTATTATTAATAATGATTATTGTTTTCTGGCACTCTTAGGCTGATGTAGCTTTTTCCTGGAAGTCACTGAAAACAGTCTGTAATTGAAAACACAATGTAAACAATAAGACGCACACAGCTAACATATGTATCTTGTATTTCTTTCCTCTAAACAGCACAATGCCTGACGTGCCAGAAGTGTTCAGTGTCGGTAGGCGGGAGCTGTTTGGTTGGGAAAGGGGAGGTCACATGTGCAGATGGAGAGAGCTGCACCTTCTCAGAAGCAAGTAAGGATAAATCTCTGAATTAGTCAATATGTATATTGACTAATTAAATAATTAAATAAAATTATAATTAAATACATACTATATATATATATATATATATATATATATATATATATATATATATATATAAAATTTTTTTTTTCTATTTGTGTAATATTCTTCAGAATAATTGAAGTCATATTAATAAAATATTATTTTCTAATAATTTTAATTAGCCAAAATGTTAAAAGGACAATTATTAATTAATTAATTAATTAATTAATTAATTAATTAAATGTATGTTTGTTTTTATTTATTATTTAGTAGAGTACATGCAGTATTGGTTGCCTTGGCAACTCATCACTTGTTTCTTAACATCCTTATTATTGTTTTCTGGTACTCTTTTGGTTTAACTTGAAAGATTATATGTAATAAAGACGTTGTGTGGGGCTTTCTCCAATCATATATACACATATGCATTCTTTTTAAATGTAAATTAAAATAAATGATTGTAGTCATGCTATTATTAAAGCATACTTTTCTTATAATTTTAATTAGTCAAACTAATTATGAATAAATACTTTCAGTAAATGCATTATTATTTATTTATTTAATGGAATAAATATTTACTTATTTTGTAATTTAGGCTAATAGCAGTATTGGTTGCCTTGGCAACAGAGAGACCCAACACCTGTTTTTCAACATTCTGATTTCTGGCACTCTTAGGCTTCACAGCGAAGGGGTCACCCACTCTGCATAGCAGGGGCTGCGTGGCCGCCACCTCCTGTGGGACCACAGCCACTGGCACCATCATCGGTGTTGAGTACACCAGCAAATACGCCTGCTGCACCACAAACCTCTGCAACGGAGCCTCTGCTGTTCAGCTGTCTCTGACTGCCGGCCTCTGTGCCGCCATCTTGTCCTCCCTGTGGGGATTCATATAGTTCACCATGAAACTTACAGATTTTCAAATGCTAATCCTTTGATTTTTCTTTGTTTTAAATATTTTTTTATGCATTAAATGAAGTTTTAACTTAGTCTTAGGCTCCAGTTGGAACAGATGGAAAAACAGAAATGCATAAAATCATTGTTTGTTTTTTTTTTGGTACTAATGGGTTTCCTTATTAGGGTTAATAAAGTATATCTAATCAAACATGGATAATTTGTGCTAATAATTATAATAACTGATTTTATTTTTCAGAAAATTTGGTTTTGCCTGCTGGAAAAATATTAATTTTAGATTAAATCACTACATTTGGTTCAGATTTTGTTTTTTGTTGTTGTTTTTCCTCTGTGATAAACGTTTGACCTTTGCCCTCTGACTGATAACGCAAAAAATAATTTAAATCAATACAGAAATATGTATTTAATAAAAAATAATGAAGTTATTACTTTCCAGTTGCATTTTTAATATTAGAAATAACCTTTCATGGAGCACAAATTTCAATTTATCGAATATGACTATTAATAGAAGCATAAAATTCTGTTTGGTTTTTTTAACCCAATAATTTTATTTTTATACTTGTTTTTAATTAGTGAAATCCCTCTGGTCTACTTTTATTTATTGTATTTGATGACTTATAAACAAACTGAACTAAAATAAACATGTTTTTATGGATGAAATGTATTTTTACACATTAGAAATCAATGAGAAAGTGCCTACTTCTGCTAGTATGTCTCTTATTTCAATCAATATTTTCAAAACTATTTTTCCAGAAATCCTGCGTTATTTTTCGTTTAACTTCAGTCTGGGCTTCATGTTTTTCTTAAGGAGACGCCTTTTGGTCCCATGATGACATCTTAGATTTTTGGAGGCTTCCTTTAGTATCCTGCTGGCTGCTTTCAGAGTAAACTTGGTTAGACTTTCATTTTTGAAACAACCATACAAAGGTATTTGCCTAACTCTTCTAAATGAACATTGCTATAGATTTTTGTATATATATTTTTATCTTCTACCATCTTAACACAAATGTATTCTGACTGAACAAATATTTGCTGATCAAACAAAGGTGTAGTTTCTTTGAAGCAGGGTATATTAGGGGAGGAGGATTTTTTTTTCCACAAAACTTCCTCCTCAAAGTTGTGAAAGAAGCAAAACCTGATGATCCTCCTTCTTATCAGTCATCCTTTTCTTGTGTTTCTTCCTCAGTTTCTCCTTGGTTCACGTAAGCCAAGGCATCTGAAACTCTGAGTCTGTAATATATTTATTTTACAAAGGTTTCCCTTTATAAGCCTGTGAAAAATGAATACAATCTGGAAAGCGGTAATTGGTCTCAGCGCCCTAATTGTGGCAGGTGAGTTTAAAAATATCTCTCATTTATTTAATACCTGCTTTTAATTAGTCAAGTTTCCCTCTGATCTGATAGATTACAGCCAAACTGAACTGAAACAAACATGATTTTACCGCAAGAAAACGTATTTTTATTCACAAGGGATCATTAAATGATGCATACCCCGCTTTTATGTGTACTAAAGTATATATTTTCAAGAGTATTCAAGAGTAAGAATAAAGAAAAAGAATCTTATATTAAGACATTTCCAGTTTATATGCCCAGAATGCAGAAATTATTTGGTAAGAAGTAACTAAAAGCTTATTTCTCATAACTAGTTACATTTACTTGAGTAACTTCTTTGAAAAAATTGCTTTTAGGAGTATTTTTACTTTGCTGTACTTTTAAATTTTATTCCAGTAATTTCATTTTTAAGAATTTCTACTCTTACTTGAGTAAAATTTCTAGATTTTCTACCCACTGACTGAAAAACAAACATGTTTTAATAAAAGAATACTCACCATAAACAGGCACAAACCTGCAGTTTTTAAAGTTTTTTATTGAAAGAAATTGATTTTGAAAATTTTTTATTTTGCTAAATTTTATTTATTTATTTATTTATTTTTTGGGGTCATTTTTGACCTTAAAATACCAAAATTTCCACTTAACTTTGGTCCATCTGATGATGTAATTTTTAAATATTAAATCATTGATAATTTGATCAGTTACAGTTACTTGAATAGATTTACTTGAGTAATTTCTTGGACGGATATTTTTTACTTTTACTTGAGGAAAAATATGTTGAAGTAGTTTTACTCTTACTACCCACCTCTGCTTCTTTGCCATCATTTCAGTAGAAATATGACCAAATACGTGGACAGGAAATATTTAAATTTCCTACATTTCATGCAACCTTATCAACAAAAAGTACATTTATGATTACTTAAATTGATGTTGTGGTACTTTGTGAGTAAGTTGGTTTGCTTTTTCCCACTGAACAGCGAACTGCCTGACCTGCCGTCACTGCTCTGTTGGCGTATTTGGAAGCTGCTTGTTTGGGAGTAACACCACATGCGTCAACTCAACAGAGAGCTGCTACACAGGAGAAGCACGTAAGGAAAACTTTAAAAAAGCAGCGTGACCATCTACTGATGATGAGATTATTACGTTACCAGCATCTTAAGGAACTATGTAGTGGAGCCAGTTATTCAGGGCAGATGTCTGTCAAGATAATTGAGTCCCTCAAACATATAAAAGCTAATTAAAGTTAGTTCTTATTTAAAAGAAGCAACAAGAGAAAGTTTTCATGATTCTCAACGCAGTTGTGGGAACCAGTGCACCAATTATTACTAGTATGAACCACCAAAGTTGGGGTTTTCTCAGCTACAAAGCAAAACCAAATAATCTTACCATGTTTTTCTGGTCTGGTTTCTACTGCAAGTGTCTTAGTAAACTTGAAATAACTTACAAGTACATTTTGGGCAAGATTTAGAGGCTTGTTTTAAGTCAATAACTTCTTTATATTGATGAAAAAGTACTAGCTCCATTGGCAGATTATTTCACTTTTAAGATGGGAAAAATGTCTTGTTAAAAGCTTAATAATCTGCAAATGGAACTACTTTTTAAAATCAATATTAAGGAATTAATTACTTAAAACAAGCTCCTTTATCTGACTGAAGATGTACTTGTAATTTAGTTTTCATTTATTTCAAGTTTACTAGAAACTAGACCAAAAATACTTGGTAAGATTTTGTGTTTTTGCAGTGTGATGACTTTAGAGAGGCAAATGTTGCTCCATTCAGCTCTCACACAATTTGACATTGCTATAGCGGGTTTCTGTCAAATGTCTCCTGATTTCACAAAAGTCAATAAATCCTGAAATCACAATTTTTGGATTGCAGTCAGAATTCTGACTTTTTCCCAAAACTTTAAATGGGTATTTTTCAGGACTAATTTCACAACGTATATGATGAAATTTCAGAGGTTAGTTTGATAAATCAGTTTTAGCTCTCAGAAGAAGCCGACCGTTATTTGACAGAGCTCGCTGTTAACGTTCGTTTCAGAATTCAACGCCACGGGGTCGCTGACCCTGCACACCAGGGGCTGCGTGAACTCGAACCTGTGCGGGTTGACGCTGACTGGATCCCTCCTGGGAGCCGCGTACACCAGCACTTACAAATGCTGCGTCACAGACCTGTGCAATGGAGCCACTTCCGTCCAACTGTCTGCGGCCCTCTGTGCTGCCATCTTGTCCTCACTCTGGGGATTCTGGGAGTTGTAGTCTAACATGAAATGCCTCTGTGCTCGCTAATTTGCATTTGTTGATCGTCAGTTTTTCTTATTTTAGATGTAATCCTTTGTTGTTTTAAGTAATAAAGTTGTGCTGTGATTTCACACTTATCCTCTGTGATTATGTTGACCCTCTGATATGATAATTTATTACTGTAAAAATTAATAAAAGCTGTGAAATGAACCTTTTTGAGATTTTCTTTCTGTAACACATTGAAACTGTGGATTTAAGCTCCCTGTGTGGATATTTACCAACAGTATTTTTGAATAAGATCGGATCTGATCTATCTACATATTATTTTTTTAATTAAATGAATTATATTAATACACTTTTTTGTGGTAAAGACTTTTTGTTCTTGTGGATTGTGACACTTTTGGAACATAATCTCTGACAAGCTAGTATTAGCAACCTGGAAAGGTGCAGAAAAAACCTTATAAGTTAAGTGATTTGTGTGTCTGTTTATTAAATGTTATTCAAAGTAAGAAGAATATAAGTCAGTAATTTCTATTTAAATCCAAAGGTACAATATAGTCAATCAAAACCGTCTAGCAAACAACTAATCATTTACAATTTCTTTCATATTACTCTTGGATTGGACAATTTATCTAAAAAATAATTAGGCCTTTGAAGTGAAACACTTTTGAAGAGACACAATTAATCTTTGTGCTCCATCTGGGTGAGGTTTGTTCTGTCTCCATGATCCAGGCTTGTGGTATGTCCCCTTCACGGCTGCCAGCTACAGTCTATTGTTCCCTCCAGATCAGCTGATAAATCTGGCTGCACCAACATGTCTGCAAGTTATTCTGAAACCAATGACGCCCTCTGGTGCTTCACATGAAAAAGGGATAAAAATTAATATGACCCCAACTGTCAATCATTCTCTTGGGTTTGTCAACAAGTGACCTGTTAATGAGAGGAAAATAATAGGAATTTTTTTTATCAAAGTGGGGAACATGGAATCCAGACATCTCTTACTAGAGCGTTTAGACCAGGGGTGTCAAACTCAATTTCACTGAGGGCCACTTCAGCATATTGGCCCCCCTCAACGGGCCACATT